GAAACATAACCATCTTTGATTAACGAGCTAGTCAAGTAGATGCATACTAGTGACACTCTGTTTATCTATGTATTCACACATGTATTATGTTTCCGGAAAATACAATTCTAGCATGAATAATAAACATTTATCATGATTATAAGGAAATAAATAATAACTTTATTATTGCCTCTAGGGCATATTTCCTTCAGCATTAAATAATCGCATGCAAGTATTAAGAGAAAACTGACCAATGCATGCACTTTATGTATGCATGCATTGCAATTAATGCATTCGTAAACATAATTTTTTTAGGAAAACAAGAGCATTAATTGGGTGCTTTTGTAAACTACAAAAAATATTCCACCACTCATCATCTATCTTGGTTGGTGAGATTTTTGAATTGAGCCTTAGGCTGGTCATAGTGGGGAGTAACATATACTAGTATCATGCATATGATACTAGTGTATGATATTACATCCATAGTACATAGTATCATAAAGTAGTATCATAGGTGGTCTTATTTATTGCCATGCATGACACATAGTAGCATAACATTTATTATGTTACGGTATCTACCTATGTTACTATGACCCTCTCTCTCTTCTTTAATTTCCTGCCACGTAAGCATGTTTGCGAGTCCCAAGTATATGATACTAGTTATGTTACGCCCATTATGGCCAGCCTTATAAACCGGAAAGGAGGGAGTACTACTAGTATGAGTAACATCACACATATCAAGACAAAATGAGTCTATAGCTTAATAAATGAAGTGTTGCATGTTACCACACATATGTTAGTAACATAGAATATTAACATAGATACATTACTATTGTATGTTACTACCCATTGTGGCTAGTCTAAGGTGTGTGTCACTGCGAGGAGGCAGCGAGATCGATTGTCGAGATGGTTTGTAAGTTGTGCACTCTTTGGCTTTACCGGCATAGAAGTGCATATTCAAGTCGTGTCAACGTTATCTCAATCTTGCCATTGGTGTGTGCCAAACATTTCTTCGTGGGCCTTATAGCTGAGAGCTTGAGATGTTCGATGATATGTTTAAGAGAGGAGATTCACTTGTTTTCTTCCCAGTAAAATCTTCCTAAACGAATTTGAAATACATGAAATTTGGGCTACTTGGGCTGCTTTGTGCATGCGTAATTCATGTCTTATCCGTGTTTCATCAATTTTTTTTCTGGTTTTGTTATGGAACTATGAAAAAACAATAAGAAAAGTGCTTGAACATAAATATAGTCATTTACAAAGACATAAACATTTTTTAAAATATGTTTTTTCATAAATACATGTTTCAAACACAGGAACATTTTTTACAAATGAAACAAACATTTCTGTAAAGACATAATTATTCCACGCTATCAGATGAAACGCGGATAAGACATGAATTACACATGCACAATTAAGACCCATATATTGACTTTTGAATTTATAGGACACAGTTGACACACCTTAGGTAATTTGTTAGACATATGATGCATTTAGTCATTCCGATATCAGGTATGCTTTGCATGTCGCAGTTTCTAAAGATATAGGGCATCTCTACTAAACTCCAAGTGTCGTGCATTTTGCATTCCACAACATAATTCAAAATAATGCACAAACTTAGGAAAAGCATTTCGTATATCTATTTAAAGAAACCCATTGAGATATTCTTATCATATATCCTTTTTGTAATGAATTAATCATGTTGACTTCAACCACCAAAAAGGGGAGACTAAAAAGACAGCTAAGCCCATGGTTGGGTTTCAGATGATATATGATTAGTGGGACTGAGAGTTTAATCAAGTATTCTACACATGTTTATTCCCAAATTGTAAAAAGAATGTAGGTTAGAGACACCTCACCCCAACACGTATGAAATAACAAGGGGACGTATGACGCCCGTATCAAGGATGGTCGTACCCGTTGTGGAGGGTGGTCGAAGACGGTGTATGATGGCGTTGGCACGCATATCGGTGCATGTACCTTGTTAATTTAGTACTACCTCTTTACACTAACTAGACGATGCTCCACGCGTTGCTGCGGGACTTGGTTGCAATATACTTTCATGATATTTGATTATTTTGAATATTAATATTTGGATGAATAATACGAGAACTAAAACTAAAAACTTATATGATTTATTTTTTCATTGTCGATGAGGTGGACTTTTCACATGCATGTTGGCATGACGAAGTGGTTCTTTTGCATGCATGTTCACATGCTGAAGTGGGTCTTTTGCATGCATGTTAACATGCTTAGGTGACATGTATGCATGTTAAGAGAAATATGTTAGTGGGGCTAGCTATTTAGATATAGAAGATATAAAACATTTTTCTAGCTCAATTTGAACTACAAAAACGTTTTCATTAGTTTGCAGAGGGATAATATGGCTAGAAATGCTTGCAGTCCTGCCCTGAAGATGTGTATGCGTTTGTGTCGAATCTCGTCATCTAATGTTGATGTCCTTGTTGTCCATGCATTATCAAATGCGCCTTGGATTCATAACATCATGTCGTCTCATCGGATTCAGCTTCTAAACTAATTTAGTGCAATCTCTGTTCCAAACTTAGGATCTGTTTTTGCTAGTTACCAGGTACCTGATTTTTTGTTCTTGCGTCCGGTACCTCTTCCTTCCTTCTTCCTTGTACCTCGCCGGAGAAGAACTAGCCACACCATCTATCTTAGGCGGAAGCCACAACCCCAATATCTATCTTATGCGGAAGCCACAACCCCAATATCTATCTTAGGGGTGGATGGGTGCACGGGATCGCCGGAGCTGTTCATCTGTGGTGCGGGGGC